GCAGATAATTGCACTTACATTTATTTGTCAAGCTTCCATACAATGATTTACAATTTGCATGGATATATGATTCACTCACGTTCACGCTGTAATAAAATTAATCTTCTAAAAGAGAATTTTAACTTGGGAACACATGTGATTACTCTACTATGGGTATAACTTAACAGAGCCTTAATTCTTCAAGTGATACATTTACTGCCAGCCTGGATTGCTTTTGTTGCAACCAGGCTTCCGCACGAGAACTTCTTTCCACGGGCCACAGCAACAAAAAGTACTCTTGGGTTACCACACATGGTGTCGTGCAGGAGAACTCTGTAAGCGTGACTTGAATTAACCATCTAGGTGCAATAGACCAGCCTGAATTGCTTTTGTCGCAACCAGGCTTCCACACGTGATATTTCCACGGGGATAACAAACCTAGGTTAACACGCTTAGTCTCGTGTCGACCTTCCACGGCCATAACAACAAAAGGTACTCTTGGTGTACCACACATAGTCTCGCGTCACTGAGTCACGGTAGACGGTTGTCGCGGCAAGGAGAACTGGTAAGCATGACTTGAATTAACCATTTAGGTGCAATAGACCAGCCTGGATTGCTTTTGTCGCAACCAGGCTTCCACACGTGATATTTCCACGGGGATAACAAACCTAGGTTAACAAGCTTAGTCTCGTGTCGATCACGGTCACAGTAGACGGGTGTCGTGCAGGAGAACTCTGTAAGCGTGAATTAATTAACCATTTACTGTAGGTTTGATAGGCCAGCCTGGATTGCTCTTGTCGCAACCAGGCATCCACCCGTGATATTTCCACGGGGATAACAACCTAGGTTAACCCACTTAGTCACGTGTCGACGACGGTTCACAGGACGGAGTGCGGTGGAGGACTCTGTGTGTTGTGGTGCCCCGCTCCCTTTCAGGAGGGAGAGAGTCAAGACTACTTCTTCACTAACCCATGGCTCAGGGGATACTACCGAAATGAGGTTTTTTTGGTGTGAAGCGATGAACAGTACAACACTGTTTCACTGCCCACCCCCCTAAAGGCTGGCTGACATACACTAATTGAAAAATACATGTCCCAGTTATGCCTCGCCGGGCGTCTTATCTCTGGTAAAACAAACTTTGGAGTTGGTTGCGTGGGTAAGCCTAACGCAACCCAAGACAGAAATATTAATTATTGTGGTTTAGTAACTTTAAAAGCAAGAAAAATACAGGATTATTTTATTAACACATTTCAAATGCAGGAAAGTCTTATGTTTTCCTTAAGTGAGCTGTATGCTTTAGTCATTTCTAAAGCAATAAAGACTATTTTCCTCTAACTATAGTAACAGTGGTCTGTGGTATAGCTGTGAATGGATAAGTCTAAATGCCATATGAACAATTTAGCCTAAATTTGTAAAAACACAAGTGAAATTTGGTGTTGGGTAAAAATAATATAATGTAAACTTACATTTTTGCTTTAGTGTGAAGTAAAATTACGCTTTGTGTTTGTTTTTTAATATTTTTCTAGTGTCATTAAAAACACTAAATGAAATACTAACTACTGTAATAAGCAATGTAAAAGCACTTTTTACAATGAAACTCTAAAGGTTCAATTTATTTTTGTGTTTTATTACCCTTATTTACATAAACTAGGATAACCCGAGATCCCGGGACTAGAACTGTTTTTGTCCTGGAATCCCGGGATGTTGACAATACCCTAAAATTAAAAACCCTAACTGAGACCCTAAGCACGCCACTCCTTTCAAAGCAGCAAATGGTTATACCACCTATTTGTTTACCAGAAAAAACACGTCCATTTATCACTATAGTAAAACGCGAAACAGTGTTAAATAAAACAGAAGTAAAATTGGCAGTAGAAAGAGATATTAAAGATCTAGTGAATTTTTTAGAAAATTTAAATATAGAAGGAAGGGGTTTAAAGACTTGCAAGCCGCGATTAACATAGTTAAGGTATTCCCGCCTAAATCCAAAGCTCCTCCCACATTCGTGGTCCTTAAATACTGAGAGGAGGTAGGACAGTGGAAGGAAGTTAGTTCTGATCAAAACCAAGCCAGGGTAGTGCAACGTGACCTAAGGATAGACATCTCTACATTCTACTCATCTGCTTCTACTAATTCATCTTGTCTTACAGGGATTACTTTTACTTGGTATAATTTAGCTAATTATTGGTGTATTCAGGGGCGTGTTCTTTTTCATGTACTTACTTATTAATTGTGTTTGATTCAGACTTCTATCTTTGTGTGTGTATTTACCTCCCTTATATTTGAACCATTTGAACTTTAGGTGAGGAGGATTCAGTAAAGTTTCAACTCTTTGATTTTTTTTGTATATAAGTTTGTTTAGATATTTAAGACTAACTTTATTTGTAAAATAAATTAGTTTCTTAACCCTTCTGGAGATGTGATTATGCCCAGAAATAGTGAAGGATCTCTCTTTTCGTATTCATGTTTTACAAAAACTGCTTAACTAAAATGCTTTTTATAGTCATTAACCGTTTAATGTGTTGGGGGGCTGTGGCTACTTATCTACGTATTACCTGTTCCCTTGTCTGTCTCTCGAGTCTGCTATCGCTTTGTCGACCGGACATACCCCCCAGTCCAATCACAATAGGACTAATTCTCTGGTAGATAAGTTGTAACTCCATAACAGTAGGCAGCTTAATAATAATCAAGGCAGAATTGCATTGTTGCCTTGACATAATATCAGTATTTACAGGTACAGTTTTTTCTAAAAGTAGTTCATGAACACCCGCGAAATCTACAGTAGTTCATCTGAGTTATTGTGGGACTTACATTCTCTAAAAATAGCTTCCGAACATCAGTTATATATAGCTCATCTGAGGAGGCTTGGGATTTTGTTACACTTTCTTGAATTAATTTACGAACATAAAATTAAAGTCTAAGGCCATGTGAATCAAGCTCAGCAGTCTGTTGATAAGTGAGTGCAAGGTGAGATTTACTTTAGGTGTTATTACAGTCTCAGGTTGAGGTTTCGCTAAGGCACCAGTAACATCATTACCCAGAATTAAGTCTACGCCTTAAACTGGCTTTAGTCCGTCATGAGCTGCTACTCGAATACAACCATGAAATAGGTTTGAGTACAAACACACTTCAGCTATAGGTAGGACAAAATATCCAAACTAGTCCTGCAAAACCACATGATCAATAGTGTAATTACTTTGAACGGTAGGAAATGCATCTTTTCTAATGACACTGTGCACCACCTGTGTCCCATAAAAATTCTAGACCTTTGAAAAATTTCTTTCCCTAATGAAACAACTCCCTTAAATTTGATATCACTAAACAATTATACACTCTTTGGTACACTTACAACATTAAAATTTAGTGCGGTCAAAGTTTTCTTTGGCACGTTTACAGTGCTAGGCAAAGTTTCTGAAAGATTTTAATTGTGTACTCGTTATGAATGACTCCACTTGTATATTCAGGCTAGGCTTAATTTTCATATCAGGCTTGATTTGTGTGCTAGGCTTAGGTTTGTACCACTTGGATTGTTGACAGGATTCCAGCAGTCGATTATATAATGTCCTACTTTACTACAGAAGGAACATGTAACATTCTAAGAGAAAGTACACCGTGTTGATTTAGTCTTGGATGTCTATATCAGTGACAGCGTGAAGTCAGCCACTCGTCAGAAAAGAGGAAGTGGTGTAAAACGACGTGTGGCAAGTACAACACAGGCACCACAGAATTGGAGTCAGTTTTTTAAGATGAGAACATTAAGAAAGAGCTATGTGGCTTTCTTGGACAAAGAAGTTATGATTACATGGGGTATGTGTATGAGGGCTGAAGAAGAGCTGTATGTGACTGATGGTGAAAATGTTCTGAGCTCTGAAGATGCAGACCTTAGCAACCTGTCTCCCAACAGGCATGTAAAAGCAGACTGAAGAATGATTGTGCATGCAGCTGATGCCGCCAGCAAAGGCAGCAGGAAGATTATACTTAGAACTGTAGATACCGAAGTGATCATTAAGCAATTGAATTTTTTGAAAGGTTGAGTGTTGATATGCTATTGGAAGTCAAAAAGCTCAATCCCTTCTCGGATTTCATGCCTTCACAGGTTGTGACACAGTGTCAGGTTTCTGTGGAATGGGCAAAAAATCAGCCTGGAATGTATGGAACGTCTTTTCTGAAGTTATATCTGCATTTCCAGCAGTATCATTACCCTGCAATGGCATATCAGCCAATGTTCATGCTTTACTCGAGAGGTTTGTTGTCATTCTGTATGAGAGGACAAACGTATGTTAAATGTGAATGACTGCAGAAGAGATCCTTTTACAAGGAGAGGCAGGACTTCCATGAAAATGCTGCCTCCAACTAAGGAAGCCCTAACTCAGCATATGAAGAGAGCCTGCTTTCAAACTGGACACATGTGGGGACAGGCTTTGATGGCAGATATTGGGTGAAAGAGGATGCTGTGTGGAGGCCCTTATGGACAAGGCTACCAGAGGCTTCTAAGAGTTACAGGGAGCTTGTAAGACATAAGTGTCAGAATGGATGCACAACCCGTTGTGTCTGCTCAAGAGTGCAGATGCCTTGTACACCTCTGTTATTGTGTCTGTATGCAGAACATGTAAATGATAGGTTACTCATCATGTTTTCCCTGGAAAAATTCGTTAATGATCCCTCACCAGAAATTCTTTGTCCTGATCAGTTACGTAATAAAAGACTGAAATTAGCATTGCTAGCCATTATAGAAGTAACGTCCAAAAGGGTCAGTGTAAGTCAGCAATACAAACTGCTGTGCTTCCAGAGCTGGTGCGGGAAGAAATTATTTCGGAGGACACCCTTCAGTTACGTGTATTTGGCAATGGAACTAATGTGGACACTGGAAATAGTTTAGAATTACTTAAGCTGGAGATGCAACATGAGTTAAGGTTATATCAGGAAAGAGAAAAGGAGAGAGCTAATGAATTAGCCATGGAGGAGGAAAAGCAATACATGAGTTAGTCATGGAAGCGGAAAAGCGTAAACATGAGTGAGCCATGGAAGCGGAAAAGCGTAAACATGAGGAAGCTATGGAGGAGGAAAAGCGAAAAGCCCTTGAGGTGCAAGATAGAGTAGGAATAGCAAGGCCTAGCAACAATGACAGTGTTCAGGACCGTGATCAGTCTGTGTTTGACATCACTAAACATTTGCGACTTGTACCTCAGTTTGACGAGATGACCCAGAAGAATTTTTCCAGCAGTTCGAGAATGTAGCTAAATCATTCAAGTGGCCTGAAACATCCTGGGTGACAATGATTCAGACTGTGTTTAAAGGTGCAGCTAGGTCAGTCTTTTTGTCTTTATCTGCTGAAAAATGTGACAGTTATGAAGAGGTTAAAGAGGCTATTTTGAAGGCTTATGAGTTGATTCCGGAACACTACAGAGTGAAATTTAGGAATGAGAGAAAACTAGAGTCGCAGTCATATCATAAATTTAAGTACCGTCTTTGTAAGTTGTTTGGAAGATGAATACAAAGTAGTGGGGTAAATCCTATGAAGAATTGATTGGGGTGATCATTTTAGAGCATTTTAATAGAGCCCTCCTACGAGACATTCAGTTATGTTTGGAAGAGAGAGAGATTACAGAAGTGCAACGAGCAGCATCTCTGGCAGACAGTTATGCGTTGACACATAAGAATGTTAGGTTTCAAAGTCAGGTAACTAGGGACAAGGGTGGTAAGCAGGATAAGTTTGAAGATGCAAAGGCATCTGCCTCGAGTAAGGTAAATGTCCGTAGTGCCTCGGAACAAAAATCTCCGAGGTCTGAGCGTACGAGTCAAATGATCTGTTTCTATTGTAAACAGATAGGTCACGTTATTGCAAATTGCCCTAAGCTCAGGTGATGAGTCTAGTGATGTTCGGTACCCTGCTCGGATTTTGCGAGACACCTCTGCAAACCATAGTATTGTGGTGAAAGGTGCTTTTCCCTGTGTGGAAAGTGCCTTTACTGATGAGCATGTGTTATTGAAGGGTGTCGGTGGTGTAGTCACTGTTCCTTTATGAAGGATGTTCTTGAGGAGAGACATAGTTTCTCAGTGGGTGACTGTTGGTGTCCAAGACTCTCTCCCTGTATCTGGTGTTACCCTCTTTCTAGCTAATGACATTGCCGGTACTCGTGTTGTCCCTGATCCTGTAGTGACCCCGACTCCTACGATGGACAATAATACTAAATTGCTTGAAGATCAGTATCCTGGTTTATTCCCTGCCTGTGTTGTTACCAGAAGTATCTCGCTTAGAGATGGGCAGAATAATCGTGTTGACCCTGTTCCAAATGTAGGTGACACACCACCAAGTGGTGCAGTTTGTGTTATAAATGACTTTGGTATTAAGGACCTATATGTGTCTCAAGCCAATTCTGTTGATGACAGTGAGTCGTATTTGACAGAAGCCAGTGGCGCCAGCGGCGATAATCCCCCTAAAGTCATTGGTGACGTATTTGACAACTCACTCTCATCTAGTGTTGATTCAACTTTAAATACTGATGTAATCCCTATAGAACAAGTGCCCATAAATAGGAAAAGATTAATTTCTGACCAGGAAAGTGATCCAGAGTTGTTAGAGCTGAGTAACAGTGCTGTAAGCGAGGAGGAAGCTGATGACTGGCCTGTTTGTTACTAATTGGACTATGGTCTTCTGTTGAGGAAATTTAAACCACCCTCGGTGCCTGCTGGGGAAGACTGGCATGTGGTTAGGCAAATTGTTGTCCCAAAATGTCATAGGGGAGAGATCTTGACACTGGCACGATTTTCTGGAAGGACACTTAGGGGTTAGGAAAACCTATCATAAGATATAAACTCATTTTTATTGGCCTGGCTTGAAGAGAGATGTGGCTAAGTACTGCAAGGTTTGTCACGAATGCCAGATGGCAGGAAAACTTAATCAGCCGATCAAACCAGCCAGCCTATTCCAGCAATAGAAGAACCCTTCAGTAAGGTAATAATAAACTGTGTTGGTCCTCTCCCAAAAAGTCGTAGTGGGAACCAATTCCTGTTAACTATCGTGTGTGCAGAGCCTAGACACCCAGAGGCTATACCACTTAGACGAATCACTGCTAAAAATGTGGTAAAGGCTCTGATCCATTTTTTTCACCCTTTGTGGTATTCCAAAGATTGTACAGTCCGACAGGGGAAGTAATTTCACGTCGTCTATTTTCCAGCAAGTCATAAATGAATTGGGCATTTAGAAATATCTGCTTATCACCCACAGTATCAGGGAGCCATTGAACGGTTCCATCGAACCTTCAAATCAATGTTAAACAAATACTATAGGGAGAATGAGGAGTGGGAAGAAGGAGTGCCACTCATTCGCCATTAGGGATAGTTGTCAGGATCCTCTTGGTTTTAGTCCTATTCAGTTGGTTTTCGAACATGATGTAAGGGGTCCTTTGACAGTTTTGAAGGAGAGCTGGGTTAATAATAAGATAAAAATTGCGCTTTCGGTGTATGTTGACAAATTCAAGGCTAGACTGAAGAGAGTTGGGGAGATTGCTCGAGAGAACTTGTCCCAGGCTCGGTTGAAAATGAAGTGTCAGTATGACCAGAAGTTAAACTATGCAATTCACAGATTTTAGCTGATCCCTCTTCTAAAGTCTTACATCTTTCACAGCTAAAGGTTGAAGATGTCACGAGGATGCTACAGGAATACAAGCACCTATTTGGGGACGTGCCGTGGGCCTGTAACCTCAGAGAACTCCAGGTGACCCTTCTACCAGAGACGACCCCGATCAAGCAAGCACCCTTTAAGACCATCCCTGCCAATAGGAATATTCTGAGGGAGGAAGTGGACGATTTGCTTCAACACGAACTCATTGAACCAAGCGACAGTGACTGGGTGTCACCGTGCGTGCTGGTGCCAAGACTCGACGGCTCCTTCCGCATGTGTGCAGACTACAGGGCTGACACCTACCCTCTCCCACGTATAGACGACATCCTTGACAGCATCGGGCAGGCAAAATTCGTCACGAAGCTCGACATTATGAATGGGTGCTATCAAGTAAAGCTGGCATGAGGAATCCAAGAGAATTACTCCCTTCTTCAGTCCTGATGGGCTTTGGCAGTACAAAGTCCTCCCCTTTGGGCTTTGCAGTGCCCTGGCCCATACTAAAGGGCCTGCTAGTGACAGGAGTTACCTGGGAGGAACACATAGAGGCTCTATGGCAACTCCTGTCTCCTGCAGATCGAAAAGCTCTGCGTAGGTTCCTCGGGATGGCAGGATTCTACCAAAGGCTTTGTAAGAACTTTGCACAGGCATCGGCCCCTTTGACAAACTTATTCAGCCAAAAAGAAGGAGTTTGTGGACAAAAGCATATCAGGTTACATTTGAAACTCTTAAACACCTATTAACCTCAAGTTCAGTGTTAAAGTGCCGGATTTTGACAAGCCTTTTGAGGGCTCACCATATATAGTAGAGGTGTACACAGATCATAATCCCTTACAATTTGTACAGAGGATGAGAAATAAAAATCAAAGGTTACTTAGGTGGGCTTTAGCACTGCAGCCCTTCAATATAGAAGTGATACATATTAAGGGGAAAGACAATTTTTTGGCAGACACCCTCTCCCATGAAGTGTAAAGGGTTTCTCCTTCTGTTTGTAAGCTTTTTAGAAAAGGAGGGGGATGTTACGAGTGTCTGCCATAAGTTTCTGTTCTGGGTATAAAATACATTGATTCGGATGCTGTGTGTGGCTGGCTCGGGGCAGCTTCACTCAATACTCACCCACACCAAATGAGCCCTCGTCTACGTATTAATTTTTTTTATTTCATTATCACTTTGTCTATTTATTATTGCAACAGTTGTCTCTCATGTGATATTGATTGTAGCATGTTTGTATATAGGTAAGATAGTGGAACTAATGTTAGTTGGGTCATTTCGGTAAAGTTTAAATTTTGGCCAATCCGGCTATGATACGTCAGTATTTGGAGGTAGAGAGGTTATGTCGGTGGCAGGCTGGTACACTGTCTTAAGTTGAGCACACCCTCTCTCTGGTGTTTGGGATTTGGCATTTGACTATTGAGATTTGATATTGCTTGATCTTGATTTTGTGTGATTTTGAAGCACATTCAGTCCTTACTCAGCCACTTCCAAACATCATATTATTATTGTTATTTATTTTATTTTGTGTACATACGTATGTGGTGGTGGGAATAAGTTATTAAATGTTCATGTATTTATTGACTTGATTAGGTTTTGACCTGTTAGCTTGACCTTTGCTGGGCGGAACTTGGTATTAATAATATAAAAAATAATACTGATATATTTGAAAGACTTCAGTGATTTGTGTTTATGTAACGACCTACCCTTGGGTCGTAACATAACCTTTACCTAACCTCACCTTAACATGCCTTACCTAACCTAACCTTACCTTACCTAACCTACAGGTAATCTTTCCTTCTTATAATCCATTCGCAGAGATAATCAAATGTTAAAATGCACATTAGTGGCAACCTAAGTTACGTTTATATATCAACAAATTTATACATAAGTTGGAGAAATGAATGTAAAAAGGTTTGTTATCTCTTCAAACTTTTGTTTTTTTAAATCTTTTAAATTTTTCTAGAGAACTTAATTGTTTGTCATGTGCATAGCTGTTTCTTGGGTTAGGTTAGGTAAGGTTAAGTTTGGTTACGTTAGGTAAGGTAAAATACGGTAAGATAAGATAAGGTAAGATTAGGTAAGGTTAGGTTATGTTTGGGTAAGATACATTTCATTAATTTTGCAGTGGAAAACATCACTACTGAATGTATCAGATAAAAAACTTATGTACATAATTCTTTTTCTAAGAAAAATGCTTTACCACTGTTAATTTTTACCCCTTTTTATGTTAGGTTTGATGAACTTAGATAGAGTTAGGTATTATTTAACTATGAACGTATTGGCTGTAAATCACCTGTCCATTACCAAAGCTCCTGTGTAGATTACTGTTGGCACACAGAAGTGAGTCATGGGCACTTCTTGGATACTTAGCATAATAGCTTGTTATAACTTAGTCATAGCCATACCAAGATATTTTGTATGTGAATTAGAGTGTCTTGAAAGGTATATTTTTCATTTCATATGTAGCACACATAAAAGGGACTTCTTTCAGATTTTTACTATGAGGCTGCAATAACTAAGTCTTCAGTTTGCAGAGAAAGATCTATATATGCTACCTTTGAAACATTTCACATAAAACTACTAAGAAATAAAGGGACAATGAACTAAAATTAACTGTAACACTTTTATTGTTTTAATAAGTAGGTATACAGGAAAATATTATAATAAAAATATATATTCTTTTTTCTTTCTTCCTTCTATATTTATGGTCATGAAAGATAAAAAGAAAATATATATATAGTTTATAGTAGCAAATAATAATTGATGAAGGAAATACTGTAACTACCTTGAGATTCTCATTACTGTATTGAACATGACAAAAATATCAATTGTAAGGTATGACACGAAAAAAATTAAATAAATAAAAAAAAACAACAATTACTCCATATTTGAATTGTACGCAATACAAGGAGATAAAACAAAGCTATGCCGAGGGCAAATTCTTATTGCTGCTCAGCTCACCATGCCCTACTGATCCATTAAGTTCTTGTAAGGCATTTACTACTACCTCCTGCATAGAATGTAACCTATCCAAACATAGCCTAAATTAGCAGTAAATTTATATGGAAATTCTTCCCGATGCAGTTGTACCAATGCGTTGATTTCATCACGCACAAATGGCTAACCTAACCTTCCACCTCCACGGCTACAATTGGAAAATAAATTACTCTTCTTCTGAAACAAACATCACTGAATGGCAACATAACCAATTTAACCAGCCATTGCTTCTTCTGTTGCAGTCAGGGGTGGTACACGGCTTGGTCCTCCTAAAAAATAAAAACAGATTTTAATATATTACTTGGTAAAACAATCCAAAAGTAAACAATTGCTTATCTGAGTATATGCGTTATCACAGAGTGCTGTTACCTATAAATGAATGAATAAAGTTACAAAGTGAATCAAAACTGTCGTAACAGTCAATGTAAACTAAGATGATTGAAAACCAAGGTTAGGTTAGGTATGGTTGCCGAGTTTTTAGCCTCAGATATGAGAGTAATCTTTATTTTATATCTAATCAGGAGTAAGAAACTTTACCTAACTTAACCAAGTTTCCTTCTCATCTAAGGCGTTTATGGTATAATACAATAGGTTAGGTTTGGTGACCATAACATTTCCTGAGAAATTTCGCTTATAATAATGAAATTAGAAAATGCTAAGAAACAAGTATTCTTAACCCATCTAGCAGTGTGTAAAATGTATCATATAATCTAGTAGTACGACACAACATAAGGGATATTTGATCAATGTTTTGGTACTTCCAATTACCAATAATATTGGTTGCTCAAAGTGGGCAGGGCAGTGAAGAAGAGGAAAAATATGGGTTAAAATACTATAAAGAACACAAAAAAATAAAAACCTTACAAAACTAATAAAAATCGTAAAACTATAACTGACTTACCGTATTCTTGTTTTCGGTGTTTAGTGTGTTGATGTAATTTTCGTGGTTCAGGTAAGGGTGGATGTCGAGGTTATCACAAGTGCACCCTGCATGGTCTAATTTTGTTATGATATGATTGGCTTACGTCTCCTACTCAGTTATGTATCAGTCGCAGTGATTGGCCAAGAGGAGACACACACCCGCCACCTGTCGGCATTTTAAGAACTAATGCCAGAGTTCGTATCACCACCACAACTAAGTTATTAACCGTTAGTAAAACGTTCTTGCTGTTCGTATCGACTTCGGATCTTCCGGCAGTTACTAACTTTGTACCTCAGCAGTGTTAGTGAATCTGGGCCCAGATATGTAGGTTGGACACGTAGAGAACTTGTAGTAGACCCGGCGGAGATGTAGTAGCCTAATACAGGTTCAGGTAGTAGTTTTTATCATCAGTTAGGGAGGAGTGAGTGAGAGAGTATTACAAATCTAAGTCAATTTGGGAGAATACTGATCTGTAATTAACTTACTTTTTTAACTCAATATTACAAAGTGCTCTAGACAGGCTTCAATAGACCAATTATTGTTAAATTGTGATGGAGGAAACCCAGAGTGAAAAATACTTAAAATAAACCGATACGAGAACGCGCATGCGTGTGTGGGTGTGAACAGAGGCTGTAAGAGACTGCTCCTTAAAAGTCGTATTTCTGACAAATTCAGCGAGTCTACTAATCCCAGTCTGTGCAGAGAACTGTAGTAAGACCCAGTTATCAGCACAGTGGCATCTATTTTTTTTTTACTTTTGGACTTTGTCATTTTTGCTTGATAAAAACATTTGATCCTACCACCCGGTCCCTCTGGTCGAAGATTTTCAAGTATGCGCATGCGCAATGTGAAGTGTGACGTAGCAGTGACGTCTTTACCACTCCGCCTGACTGCAGTGTTGCCAACGTGCCCTATGCCCGCCGTTAAGCGCTCCAGTTCGTTGGAGACGGCGGCAATAGGTGACAGTGATGCTGATGACTTTCATCTTGAAGACAAGTCTAAAAAGCAGAAACTTCATAAGTCAAGGTCTCCAGCAGGGGCTACGGCTCCCTCTCGCACCCCGTCTGGGACTGTAGGGGGTGACCTCATTCTGCCTTCGGGGTCCTCCCCAAGTGAGCTCACACCGACCTTCCGCCGACGATGGACATAGGGGATTCCCTTCGTCTCCCTGCCCCTTCGCGCCTTCGTCGTCTCGCCTTTCCTCGGGACTTGACTCTGAGCACATGGACGACCTGGTTCTTCCGTCACTGCTCTCCACTTTAGGACTCAACACTTCGCCTCTGCTGAAGTCCTACAGCCGTAATAGTCACCACACAAATGGACGAGACGGTACGCCTGCTCACTCAAGTGGGCTTTCCTGCTCCCCAGGGGGAGGTGATGCTGAAGTTCACCATCATCATCCCAGAAACACGTCGTACCAAGGTAATGGTTAGCCACGTACCCTGGGAGATCCCTATCGACGATCTTCGCCCTCTTCTCCCACAACTACTCAACA